TTTTTAGAAATAGTAAAATTCTTCATCGAAATTCAATTATTTTAGAAAAATTTTAATAACATTTTTAGAAAATTTTTTAATTATTTTCATAAATAATGAAACTCATCGCAGGATTTTAATTAATTTTCGATAAAATATTTTAATCAAATTCCTCGAAAAATGTAATTATTTTTAAAAATTTAATTAAAATTTGTCAAAATAATTAAATTATTTAAAAATTTGTTGATAAAATTCTTTATGAGAATTCAATTTTAACAAACATTCAATTATTGAATAAATTATTTATTTTTTAATTTAAATAATTGAATTCTTTTAGAATTTTTTAATATAAATTCATTACAAAATGAATTACCGAATAATCGATTTATTATTTATGAAAATAATTGAATTATTGCAACGAATTTTATTACAATTTTTTCAAATAATTGAATTTTTTTGTGAAAATTTACTACTTTTAAAAATAATTGAATTCTTGCGAAGGATTTTATTAGAATTTTTGTAAATAATTACATTTTTTTTGAAAAATTTTATGGTTATTTAAATTATAACAAAACATGAAGAAGGCGATCACTCCGAGTCGAATAATATTCTTATAAATTGTTGAATTTCAAAAAGGTTTGAATTTGAATGTATTGAAGAATTTTAATTTCTACGGAAAAATAATAATGATTAAATATTTATTTAAAAAAGAACTTATTGATGTTTTTGAATAATTTCACAATTAATGAAATTTGTAAATAAATGTAATAGAACATTTTTTTTGAGTATCTAATAATTTTTAGAGTGAATCAGAATATTTTTTAGGGTCAGGGGAAAAGTGAGAATTTTGTCTCTGGAAATCAGGGAAAAGTGAGGGAAAAATAAAATTAAATATTTGTGGCAACCCTGTATTTTTGTGCAAATAATTGAATTCATGCAAAGAATTTCATTGAAATTTTTTCAACAAATTTAATTACAAATTGTATACAAAATATATTAATTCTTATAAACATATTTTATTATTAAAATCATTAAAAATAATTGACTTCAATTGTAGAATTTTATAAAGATTTTTTCAAATAATTAATTTCTTTCAAGCAAAATTTACAAAAACTGTATTTTAAATAATTGAATTTCTGTACTGAAAATTTTTTATTTTTTTTAAAAACATTAATTTGCTTGAGAAAGAAAAGATGTTTACTTTTTGTGGTACTAATTTTATATTTAACAATAATATGATATTTGATAATGATAAAATCTTCGTAGAATACGTTATAATTAAAAATGTTCAATTATTGTAATCGATATTTATTTAGTCTTTCTCTGAAAATTTTTCGTATTTAGTTTCTATACCAACTTTTGTAAAACTTAATTATAAATTTCAATGAACACTTTTCTTCTATATTCTTTTAGGTATAAATTATTAAATTAATAAAAAGACTATAAAATATAAAACACAGAGGGATAACAATGTTATTCCAACTCCTCGATATCCAATTATTATTTTATCAGAATCAGATTTCTCTTCTTGTCTAATTAAAATTCAGATATCTTATATATCTAGACGATTTTCGATTAGAATATGAATTCGAGTTATATAACATGAGATTATGAAAATTTCCATATAAATTACAATGAAAGCAATTTAATATATAAAAAGAAGAGAAGAAAAAAAAATTGAGCGTGACGTTCAAGTTAGCAAATTATCACTGATCCTTTATCTATATCCAGGACAACTTGACCCTTATTCGAGATTGCTTGAGGATCAGCATCAGTGATTGGACCACGTGCTATGTTGGTCAAAGCTACGATTTCGATAAGGAAGCATATACTGAGGCTTACTTGAAATGCAGGGGATAATAAATTCCAACCGCAAATGGGATATCAATGTGCGAAATTACTTGAAATTCCGTCATGAGTAACGAAATTTACATTCAAGTAGTCACTCTCTTTCTCCATTTTAACATTTTTAACACAAGGAGATGTGAATTTCCACTAATTGTCATTTAACTAAACTGTCATTTGACCGAATTGTCATTTAACAAAATAAACAATAAACACTCTTCAGTATTGCCATTTGCTCGAATTGTCACTTTACTTAAACCGTCAATGAACCAAATTAACATTTCACAATTTTCATTTATGAAATTATTTGTTTACCGAATTGTTATTCGACAAAATTGTCATTTTACGACAATTATTTCACAAAAATTATTAATGGCTAAAATATAATTTTGACTAATGATAAATTCGATTAAAAATAAATCCGGTAATGGTAAATTTAGCTAAAACTAAATTCAGCTAAAGATATATTTAGCTGAATATAAATTTGAACGAGGACAAATTCGACTAAAAATAAAATATGTTAAATATAATTTTGATTAACAATAAATTTAACAAAATATATAATCAGTTAAGGATACATTTGGCTTAAGTTAAATTTAACTAAAAAACTGTTAAAAATAATAACTTCGGTCTACAATACATTTGGAGAAATATGAATTCGGCAAAATAATTCCGTTACCAATAAATTTAGTCAAAAGTAACTTAGGGTAAAAACAAATTTTTTTTAAGGTAAATCTGGATAATGATAATAAATTTAGCTAAATAAAAATTCGTCTTACGATAAATTGGATTAAAAAAGATATGTTAAAGAAAACTTTAATTAAAAATAAATTTAGCTAAATATCAATTTCGCTAAAAGTAAATACAAAAAGGTAATTTGGTTAAAGTTAAATTCATTAATAACTGATTCGCCATTCGACAGAAGTAATATATTTAAGTGTAGTCACTTAAGAACTGCCGCATTCAATCAAATATTGTTATTTCTCAAAAATTATCAATATTTACTGTTAGGAAAAATGTTGTGGAACGAGCGCAAAGCGTTCATATATCTTGAGTGCAAAGCGCCCAATACTTTCTTGAGCGCAAAGAGCCCAATATTTATATTCTATACAGTGCAAGGCGCCCAATAATTCATTGAGCCTAAATTGCTCTATATTCTATACAGCGCAAAGCGCTCAATACTTCATTGAGCCCAAAGCGTTCATATATCTTGAGAGCAAAGCGCCCAATACTTTCTTGAGCGCAAAGAGCCCAATATTTATATTCTATACAGTGCAAGGCGCCCAATAATTTATTGAGCCTAAAGCGCTCTATATTCTATACAGCGCAAAGCGCTCAATACTTCATTGAGCCCAAAGCGTTTATATATCTTGAGCGCAAAGTGCGCCCAATACTTTATTGAGTGCAAAGCGTTCATATATCTTGAGCCGAAAGCGCTCAATATTCTCTACAGCGCAAAGCGTCCAATCCCTATGAAAATGTTGAATGTGCTTCGCTGTACAGTCTCATAGTGATATACCAAGTGAATAATTAAGGTGAAAAAAAGCGTAATGTAAAGTTCTACTTTGTCAACAGTGGATTTTTATCCGTACTGATATTTTACTGACAGCGCCTTCAGCGCGAACGTCGAAAGCTCCCTAAATCATATATGGTAATAGATCAACAGTACTCAGTCGGGTCGATCAATAAACGTGGAATCGAAAGGTTCAAGAGGACAGAATTGACCGTATCCCCCAATACCGTTTTCACTCGAAAACAAATAAAACTCACCGCCAATTTAATTCGCTCACGGCCAATTCTGACTTTTTTACTGGGTTCAAGAATGGTGGACCAATTGAGCGTCCGCCGGCAATAACTCGATCTGCACTCTAATGCAAGCGCTAATACCAGTCGGGGAGCAGTGAGCGCCTCTGGACTCACTGCCACCGACTGGTATTAGAGCGTGCGTCCGAGCGCAGATCGAGTTATTGCCGGCGGACGCTCAATTATAAGAGTTTTACCAGAAATTGTGAGCGATGCATGGTACTATCATTATTTTGAACGAGGATCACCTTTTGCGCCAAGATTCAATCGTATTTATCAGAAAGTGCTCGACAGTGGACTTCGAAGCACATTTAAGAAGACGGAAAGCTGGCGTACTGACGATGAATTGGATGATGAGGAAATTAAGAAAATTATGGAATTGTTGAGAATTTTCTTTTCTTTTCTTTCTTGTTTTTTATGAACTGAATATTATTCTTTTTGTTTCCGAGCGTTTTCTGTACCTAGAAGCGGTTTTTTTCGGTTAAGGAATCAGTTTTTTCATTTGCGTGTTTAACAAATGTTTTGCTATAATTTTTGTTGAATAATGAATTTTAAAATAAATTAAATGATAGTGCAAAGAATTAATCTTATTTGTTTTTCTATGCTATGATATCAAACATATTACTTTAAAGTTGCCTTTATTGAAGGTGAAGACATATTATTTTTGTTTATAACACAAATATAACAAATAGAACATTTCCACATGCATTAAGTATAATTTTCTTTTTTCAAAATCAATAATGTTTTCAGTTACAAATATAAATGTTGTTCTTGAAGTTAAATGGAATAAAATATTTCACAAAAATATTCATAACACATTTTTTACTTTTACTCCAAGTTTCTGAAGTTTTATATTGGAGAAATTTTATATATATTTGTTCCCTACCAGTTGTAGATTTTTGTTCCTAAGTGATTTTAAGAGAAAGATACACAAAATGATTAACAATTAAGAATTAATGTTTAAAGTTTTTAATAATGCAATTCGGGAAAATATTGAGCATTTTCATGATCTTTTGTCTTCAAAGAAGTTCGACGAATGCAGGATGGTTTCAGTATTTGCAAAACTATTTTCAAGTTGATTCATTTATTGGAAATTTTCAATTATTCAAATATTTTTGCAAATATTAAAATATTGTTGAAAAAAATTTAATTATTTTCATAAATAACACAATTTCTCGAAAGAATAATTCAATTATTTTCATGAACAATAGAATTCTTTCCAACAATGTTTAATTTTTTATTCTTTCGAATGAAAAATTAAATTTTAATTAATTTCCTGTTTGTTTGAATATGAGACAAAAAGCAGTTTAACAGCTAAGAGATCGAATTTTTCTTTAGTGTATAAATAATAATTTTATTAGGCTTAGAATTAATATATTTACAGGTATGTATTATTATGTTGGATGTAAAATATAATTTCTAAATTCTCAATGACGAGAATATTTTCTGCTTTTCAGTATACTATTCTTCACAGTGTGATTTGTATAATTCAGCAATCAATCTTGCTCCATTCAAATTAATATCTTCAAATCCATATTTTTCCAAAATTTTACCGCATCTCTCGTACCAATCATTGACATTTTCATAAGCACCAATGTCGAAACCACATTCCTGCGGGGAATGCGAATTTCATTCGCACAAAATTATTTATTTATAAAAATTTCATTTTTGAAGCATAATTAAATTTTTTTTTTACTTTTAATAAATTTTTATTTATTGAAGAGTATATTGAATAGTAAAAATTATCATTAACTTACGACAATTGATGAGACGGAAGTAATAATTGAAAAGTCGGCAATTGTTAAATCAGTTCCGGCCACGTAGTCATTATCTTGTAGAAAAATATTTAAAGTTTCGAAAGCCCTTTTAAGAGCTTGAACATCTTCTTCTGCAGCTTCAGTTTGTGCTCCAAAAGCAACCAATAGCTATATTAATAAAAATTGACAAATTTTTTGCAAACTTTAAACTTTATTAAAATTTCTTTCGCACTTCTAAAAACCAATTTTTATATCAATAGTAATGTTAATTAACAAGAATAACAATTATCACTGATAATGATTAATAATAAAAATTAATCGCATAATAATTAATAACGAAAATTAATATGATAATTATTAATAACAATAATTAATTATAATAATATTTAATGACAATAATTAATTATAATAATTAGTGATAATAATAAGAATAATAACAATTTTTAGTTATTCTTTTGGAAAATGAAAAAATATTACCCACATAGCATTTGTAAAAAAGATCATAAAGTGTTCCGACATCAAAGTACAGCCTTTGATCGATAATGCCTTTCTTCTGAGGATCTTTTGGATACAATGCGTCGTTTTTAGCATATCTGTTTACCAAATACCCAATAATTGCTCGACTGCGAAATTAATCAGACGACAAAATTAATTATTCAAAATTTCACGTGTGTTTGAAAATTTTACGTTTAATTTTCCTTTCTTGAAAACCAATAATGATAAAATAATAAAATAAATTAATTAATTATATTTATAAATATAAATACTAATAGTTATAAATAAATATTCCCGAAAATATCTATTTTTGAATTCAAATTTTTTTTAAAGAAAAAATATACAAAAGTTAACGCAAATTACAAAAAAAAAAATTAATATGGATTTTTTATATGTAAAAGTTAATAATTTGTGCAGTAAACAATAATAAATACTTACCTTTCACAAAAAATTAGTCCATTGTCATTAATTGTCGGTATTGTATGCTGCGGATTCAACTGCATAAAAATATGAAAAAATAATTTTTTTGCTTTTAAAAATTTGCAATTTAAAAAAAATGAAAATAAATATTTACTTCACTTTGTATTATTTATTATTATTTTATTTTATTTTATTATTTTTTATTGTTATTCATTATTTTATTTTACTATTTATTATTTTTTATTATTACCTATTTATTATAATTATTTTATTTATTAATACTGTTATTATTTATTTTTTTTTATTATTTATTACTTCACTAATTAAAAATTAATAGTTTCTTCTGTTTTCGAAAATTCCGAAACTTTTGAAATGGTTTTTAAAAACAATTATTTTCAAAAATTAAAAGAAAATTATTAAAAATAATAAAAAAATAAATAAATATTTACATTATTAATTAAAAGAAAAAACTAATATAATACCTTCAAAAATTCCGGTTTCATATGTTCGCCTTTCATTGGACAAACTTTAATGTAATTAAAATGAATTCCTAATGCTTTTGCGAGCATCATAACAGTCCGACATGGTGGACTTATGGGGAAAAAATAGAAATCAATTGTCATTGTTTAAAAATTAAATAATGAGAGATGAAAGAAAAAAAAGACAGAAATTCAAACAAGAATCAATTGAACTATGTTGCAAAAAAAAGACTGATTTTTGCTGCGAAATACGTTCAAAGTGTAAAGACCAGTTGTCACGACAACAAAAGCAAACAATAAACGTCAAACTTAAAAAATCAAATAGTTAAAAATAGTTTAATTTTTACAGTAATTCAATTAATTGTTTAAAATCGATTTTTTTGGTGCTTTTTTTCGTTTTTTTCCTTGAATTTAAAAAACTATTTTTACGATGTAATTTTTATTTTTATAATAAAAATTAATTAGTAATTCATAATTTTATAATACATAAAAAATAATTTAAACTCTGCTATAAATATTGTTATTTATAAAAGTAATTTAATTCTTGCAACGAATTTTATTAAAAAAATTTTTAAAGAATTGAATTTCTGTAAAAAATATTTTATTTGTGAAAATAATTTGAATTCCGGAGAAAAATATTATTATTTATGATATTAATTAATTTCTTGTGAAGAATTTTATTTAAATTTTTTAAATAATTGAATTTCTCGAAATTTTTTATAACATTTTGAAAATAATTGAATTCTGACGAAGAATTTTATTAAATTTTTTTTTAAATAATTAAATTCTTGTGAAAAGTTTTATTTTTGAAAAAAATTGAATTCTTGGGAAGAATTTAATTAAATTTTCTTAAACAATTGAATTGCTTCGAAGAATTTTATTTTTTAAGAAAATAATTGAATTGTTTCGAAGAATTTTACAAACATTTTTGACAGTAAAATTGTAATTGCTATAAGGAATGTTATATTTTACGAAAATAATTGTAGTCTATAGTTAATTTTATTAAAATTGCAATGTTATTAACTAAATCTTGTAAAGAATTTTGTCAAAATTTCTTTAAATAATAGAATTTTTAAAAGAATTTTATTTAAATTTTGCGAAATAATTGAATTTCTCAGAACTATTTTTTTCTATTCTTTGAATATATTTGAATTCTTTCGATAAAAACTTCATTATTAAAAATTAAAAATAATTCAATTGGTGTGAAGAAATTTATAAAAAATTGGATAGTAATTGAATTCCTGTGAAATTTTTATTAAAATTTCGTTTAAATAATTGAATTCTTTTGGAAAATTTTATTAAAAATAATTGAAATGAGGAAAATTTTTGAAAATAATTGAATTTCAGAAAAGAATTGTATTATTTATAAAAATAATTGAAATTTTGACGAGAATGTTTATGAATTTTTGAAAATAATTGAATTTCTGTAATCAGTTGTTCTTATTTAAATTCATTAAAAATTGAAATTTTAAAAAATTTCATATTGAAGCCTTTGAAGTTTATTTATTTATGCAGATTTTAAACGCAACTCTTTTGAAATCTAATTAATTTTGAAAATTTTTAAGTAAAATTATTCATTAAATAATTCCTAAGTATAATAATTTTATGATAGTTCTTGAAGAATTAAGTTATTTAAAAAGAAATTATTACTTAGAAATTATTTAATGAATAATTTTACTTAAAAATTTTCAAAATTAATTAGATTTCATAGTTTGTGAGGCAAACAAAAAAGACACAAAAATTCAGAATTTTCTTATAAATTCTAAAACTTAAATTTTTTCCAGTACTTTTAATAAAAATCCCTGACTTTTCCCTGACCAATTCTAATTTCTCTGACTGCAACCCTGTAAATAAAAGTATAGAGCCAACTAGATTATTTATTTGTTTTAAATAAGAATTTTATTCGACTAAAATAAAACTTTTATTTGAAGTTGAACCAAATAAAAATTTATATAAACCAAATAAAAATTTATTTAAACCAAAGAAAATTCTATTTAAACCAAATAAAATTTATTTTAAACAAATAAAATTAATTTTAAACAAATAAAAAAATCTAGTTGGCTCAACTTAAATGGAACTAAAATTAACGTAAAAGAGACAAATCTTAACTTAAAAGGTACTAAACTTAACATAAAAGGTTCTTATCACTAAATATTCAGTAAATAACAAATCAGAATAAAATTTCAACTTAATTTATTGTTTCGTTAGTTGTCATTACCGGTAGACACCTTATGAGAGGATTCGCGAAACATAATAGGATTCCGAGTATATTCAGTATCAAAAAGAGAACACACGGACGCAGAGCTAGAATTATGAATTTGGGGAAGGACCAGTCATGATTTTTTTTTTAAAAAAAGGAATTTTTTTTTTCCCTCAACATCACTGTTGATTATTCACGTGAACACTGGTTTTGCTTTCTTAACTTTTTTGAACCTTATTCTTTAATAATAATCAAAAGAAAAAGAAAGAAAGAAAAGTTGAGAAGCTTTTAATTCTACAATCATCAACTTAATTAACACGCGTAACTCGTTGTGATGTACGGACTTAACGACTAGAGTTTGCGAAATTGAACGCTTGAGGTTGAACATTTTTTTTTTTTTCCTTTTGTTTTTCGTTAAATCGTGATATAAAAACTCAGATTTTCCTTTCGCAAGATTCACAAACGATTTTGTATACAATTTTAAGTCGTGTATTTATATTATATATAATGCTTATTTTTTCTAAAGATTTAAAAAAAAGGAGAGAGAAAGATGACAATTTTATGATTGTGCTTATATATGTCAGTCATTGAATCGCAAAAAAAGGAGTAATAATTCTAATTACAACTTGTAAATGTGGATTTGGCAAAAGTATTATTCAGAACCTCAAAAAATATCGATTTTTTCATTTTTTTTACACTGTGCGCTTTCATTGAAGGAAAGGAAAATTAACAAAGAAAGAATACGAATTGCAAACTAATTAATTCATTAAGATGTTAGTTATTAGTAACTGAAGTTACTAATATTCAGCAAAATAATAGAAATTTAAGACAAATTCAAATTAATTCTTATTTATTACGAACTTCCATTTATTTATTAAAGTAAAAACTCAAAATAAATCAATTTCAACATTTACAAAATTATTTCTTGATATATTTATATCAAATTTTATTTTTAATTCTTCGAGAAACGAGAGAAATTGTTTCCTTTCAAATCAGTTTTTAGATCAAAGCAAAAAAAACACGATTTTTTTTCAAAGGAAAGAAAGAATTTGTCGTAAAATTAAATGATTCGTCGATTATTTTTCCACAATATATTTATTTGATAAACGCAATAAATATTGTTAGCGAATGAAGAATTTTGCCTGTTTTTGAGAATAATTTTTCTTTTGACGAATGATGATTAATAATAATTAAGAAGAAACAAAAAATTAGGTTTTTTTTTTGTTGTGAAGTGTTTAAACTGCGTTAAAAAAAAGAATCATTCTCACACATTGCTTACAGAAAAGAAATGGAAGCAAATATTATTATGTACATCATCGGGCTAATTTTTTTTTCTTAGCACTTGTGGAATGCCTGTCGCCAAAAAAATGGTTCGTCTAGATCACGTATAAATATATAAATATGAGTTTTATTCAGGATATGTTATAAGGGAGATTCTAAGGGAAACATTTGCGAAATTTCGAAACGATTCTGAATCATCTTATTCAAAGAGAATATTTACAATCTTGGCCTCTCGAAAACCAATTTATTCTATATAATTGATAATTGAAAGAAAGAAGAAAACAAGAGAGAAAAATTATCAAAAAATCGAGTCATTATTGATAAAAAAAAAGAGAAGGCAGAAAATTAAGTATCTTCAAAAAAAAATGTATTGTCATTAAAGAAACAAGCACAATTCCTTAAAAACTAAAATGGAAGGTCCGATTGATTGCAATTTTATGCTATGTACAATTTTCCGTGAATGTATTCGAGTATTAAATAATCCTATTTTTCTACGTTTTTATTAATTGAACGTTTAAAGCTGTTTTCGAATTTTTCGAAAAGGACAAAAATTAATAATTAGTCATTTAAAAAATTTCCAAAAAATTGGGGTTATTCCAAAGACAGGCAAAGCCACAGGTGCTTTAATACCCTATTCTTGGTGTCTGTAGTTTCAAAAAAAAAAAATGTATATAAAAACTGCAGAGAAATTATTTCGAGATCGCATTTATAAATAGCATCGAGATCGAGCACGAAATAAATCTAAACATTCACACACCGACTTGTCTTGCATTAAAAAGAAATTCCCTTTTTTTTATCATCAAAATCGACAAGAGAAGCATATTTGTAAATTTTGTTCTTACTTTTTACAAAACTACTTGTCTTATCTAAATTACAAAAACAAAAATAAAAATTCTAGAGCATGCAAGTTCCTACGAGCAGTAAATAGTATTGTCATTAAAAAATATCAATCCGGAATATATATATATATATTTGGCAAGCGTGCTCGTAAATTCTGGAAGATCGAATTCTTACAGAGAAGCGGTAATTTTTTGTTTTCAATGGTGATCGGATAGCAAAGCAATTCGCAATCCTTTCGAGCGCGCGTCCCAATATGAATAATTCTTACTAGAGTTCCATCCAAATTTGATCAGCTTATCAATCATTGAATTTGTTGAATAAAAATTGTCATCATGTAAATTGTCCAAGATCTCGAATATTGGTGTTGCTGATGATAAATGAAGTTTACTGATCGGTGAACTGAACATGAGTCGGCGGCATTTTTTTCTATTATCGGAATAATCGTTAGAATTCATTCGATCATCATTTCTATATGAACGATGATAGTGATTATTTTCATTCTTTAATTGCTTTATTAATTTACTGCTGGTGTAATAATGACAAAAATTCTTTGCCCGAGATCATTGTCGATATGCCTGCTGTGGAATTCCATTGCAAGGCGTCACATAGTCGCCAATCATCAAACTTGGATTCACTGGATAATGCGAGGTATTTCCAAGTACCAGCGACTGCTGGAAATTAACACCAAGCTGTAGATTTTTAGATAAAATTTAGTTCTCTTTTTTATTTTTTGAGGGGGTTCTTTCTTCAGAGAGAAAAAAAATTTAGCAGCAAAAAAGAGAAATTCAGGCCTCGGATTGAGTTTAAGGCGGAAAAAAATGCAAAAAAAAAAGGAAAAAAGTCACTTATTTAATTCAGTGTTGTCACAAAAAAATTATTTTCTATTTCCTTGACATTTCACTTATTTCTAAATTCAAAGAATTGTAATTTAAAACCTGAAATTTAATAATTTCTAAAAATTGCATATCCCTTCCAAAATTTAATTATCTTCCACAATTTTTAACTAAATTTCATGTATAAATAAATTATTTTTAATAATTTTCCGAAAGTTCATCTAGAATTCAATTATTTAAATACAATTATTCAATTTTTTATAATGATTCCAATTAATAATCATTTATAATGATTGATTTAATTATCTTCTACAATATTTAACTAAACTTCATCTTTAAATCAATTATTTTTAATAATTTTCCGAAAGTTCTTCAAGAATTTAATTATTTAAACACAAAAATTCAATTTTTAATAATAATTGTAATCCTTACAAAATTTAATTATTTTCTACAATTTTGAATTAAATTTCATCTCTAATTAAATTATTTTTAATAATTTTTTGAAATGTAATCAAGAATTCAATTATTTAAATACAAAAAATTCAATTTTGTATAATAATTGTAACTATAACTGTCCATGTTTTTGTTTAAAAGTTATTAAGATATAATATTTTCAGAAAATTATAATAAAGAAATTCTTAACATTGATTTTTTAAAAATATTTTTAAATCATTTTTGAAAGATAATATTTTTTCAATTATATACAATTACAATTGGAAAAGTTCCAAACAATTGAAATTTGGTAAAATCTTTTAAAAATAATTGAAATTTGATAAAATCTTATTATAAATAATTGAATTTTTGGAAAATATAAAAAGAATAATTCAATTTTTGAAGAATTTTAATTAGGTATAAATATGAACATAATTTCTACGAAATTTTAATAAGTCTAAAAAAGTAAATTTTGAAAAATTTTAATCTACTTTGTTTGAAGATAATTGAATCATAAATAATTATGATAAAACAATTCTAAGAATTGTAACTAATTTTTTTTTTGAAGAATCTTAATTAAATATTTTAATCCTGGTTGTTTTCTCCAAAATATTAAAAAAAAATTTTTAATTTAATGTTATTATTTTTTATCCGTATTTGAATATTCGGAAAAATGTAATTGAAAATATAGAAAATAATTAAATTTTAAACAATTAGAATATAAAATTCTAAAAAATATTTTAATATTATTTTTAGTAGCGGATTTTCATTAATTTTCGGTTTTAAATTAACATTTGAAAATTTTTCATTATAATTTTTGAGAATTCAATTCTTTTCTAGAATTGTTAACTAAATTAAATCTCTAAATAAATTATTTTTAATAATTTTTCGAAAGTTCTTCGAGCATTCAATTTTTTATAATAATTGTAACTGTAATTGTCCATGTGTTATTTAAAAGTTATTAACGTATAATATTTTCAAAAAAATATAATAAAGAAATTCTTGAAATTTTTTTTTTTTTAAATTTTAAAATAATTTTTGAAAGATATTAATTTTTCAATTATAATATAATTGAAAAATTTACAAATAATTGAAATTTGGTAAAATCCTTTAAAAATAATTGAATTTTTTAAAACTATAAAAAAAGAATCAAATTTTTCAAGAATTTTAATTACAAATATGAATATGATTTCGCCGAAATTTTAATAAGTCTAAAAATGTTAAATTTAATTATTTGAAGATTTTTCATTAAAATTTTTGATAATCCAATTACTTTCAAAATTTGCAATTCAAAATCCTTCAAAAGTTGATTTTCAAAAATTATACTAAAATACTTGAAAAAAAATTTATTATTTTGAATTAAATTTTACAAAATTTCAATTATTCAAAATTTTGTTAATAAATATATTTCGAAAATTAAATTAGAAAAATTTAAAAATTTTGCATTTTATACTAAAAATGAGATATTTTGTTGCAATATTAGAAAGAAAAGTCGAAAAATATAGCAATTTTTGAAAATAAATCGAAAAAAGTTGCATTTTTTGAAAATAATCGAAAAAGTCAAATATCCGAGGTCTGGAGAATAAAAAAAATGAAACAAATTTTGCGTAATTAAAAAAAAAATTACAAAACAATTTTGAAAAAAAAATTACTTCTAAGTTATTCAACTTACTGTGGCAGGAGAAGTGAACATATTTGGTGTAATGCCACCACCAATTAATTGAGCTGCTTGTGTACTTGTAGCCGTTCCGACTCTTCCGCGTCCAGTACTCGAGATCAAACCCGGATGAATGTTTGGCTGTCCGCCTATTATGAATAGTAAAGAATATATTTTAATAATTTCGCGAAAATCGTCAACGACAAAAAATACAGAGGAACTTTTGAATATTAATGACTTATTTAATGAAAGCCAGCAGCTCTTCGGCGAAAAATGATAAATTTTTTGCACACATTTGAAATCAAAGAAAATGCATTCATTAAATTAATTAATTAATTCTTAAATTAAATTCTTTAAATATTTTTTTAACTAAACATAAGGGCTCGCGATTACTTTTACATCACTAATTTTTTCTCTCTCCATTCAAATTTTAATTATTTTACATTTAATTCAATGTTTTGTCAATTTGATTAATAATTATTTATTTACTAGATTTAATTGATTTGTTGTCAATTTTAATCATCATTGATAATTCACTAAATTTAATTCATTTTTTTTTGCAATTTTAATCAACGATAGTTATTCAGAAAATGAGTGAAGATAATTTAAACTAAATTTTTGAAACGAATTTACAGGAGAATAATTAAAATTCGTCAAATTAAAAGAAAACAAAATCGACATATTTTTGATAAATAGGAAAACAAAAAGCAAGGATAATAAAAATTTCTTTAATAGATATTCGAATATAGTTTAATTCAGAATTAAAATTGAGTTTATAATCAGCGATAATAGAATTCGAAAAAAATAATCATGCGAGCCCCATTTAAAAATAAAATACAAAATAATGAATCAAAAACTCGATAAAAAGCATAAAAGATTTTAATGAATTTTAAGCCAAAAAAGAAAACAAAAATAAAAAAAAAAAAGGGAAAGAAAAAGAAAAATTAAAAACATTCTGATTATTCACGATGCAAAGCAAAGGGGCATTTTGAAATTGAGGATTAAAAACGCATTTACCTTCCCTAAATAATTCGTGGAGGTGTCTGGCATGCTCTAACGTCATTGACATTTTTTCTTACGGTAATTTATTACATCTAAAAGCAATTAAACTATTTTTTTTTCCTATACAGTTTTGTTTTTCGTTTCCTCTATTTGTATAAAGCGCCAAATCCGATCACCATTAGAATCCGTCAGCTAGGGCCGAAATGTGCTGACCCCATTGGTATTTTGCATCGCAAATACCTTATATAATGAAAAAATTTTTTGTATGTGTAATTTGTCTTTTTCTTTTTTTTTTAAGAGAAAAATAAACAGAAAAGAAAACAATTAAAAAGGTATTTACATCGCAAACACATAAGAGAATTTTTCTTTTTTTTTACACGTGCAACATCTATGAATTCCATTCATTCTTACCAATTGCTAATAAATTTGAGTTTACTCCTCCACTTGTATCCATTGATACTTCACCGAGACCATTAACTGACATTCCATTAACCATATTAACTGCCTGACGTGCACCTTGAGCATCTAAACTTGTCCAATATGATTCACTTGGCGAGGTATTATTTAAACCCGGTGGTGGCTGAGCCGCAGCTCCTGTATACCTAAAGTAGGGATTTTTCAAATCTAAAGTGTTGCTGCTGCTCTCCATGTTTGTTCCTTCGACCTTTAGATCAATTGTCACATCGTACGATTGCCTGGAAGGGAGAAAAAAAATTTATTATTCATTTGTTTTTTTGGGGAATCTGGAATTTAATAAAAATTCTAATTTAGTAGAAAAATTAAGATTTGACTGAATTGTGATTGTTGTCTAAATTATTACAAACCTTTTGTTAGCGACTAAGATAACTTTTCCTGAGAGTAATTGTCCACTTTTACAAAATAAGGGATTTTCAAGTAAACAGCGAACCTGATACCAATGAGTCAGAGGTTCCGTGGGAGCTGTACTCAACCAAACCTGTTGTGTTGAGCCAATGAATGCAACATCAAACCAAAATGCAAGGCCGTGGCAAGTGCCACTTTCTAGTATATGAAAATCGACATCTATTTCTAAAAGAGAAAAATTAAAATTAGAAAATATAAATAAATTTCTAGAAATAAAAATACCAATATTTATATTCATTTTTTTTTCTTTTTTATGAAAATAATTTTAATTTCACTTATTTTGTATTTAAACTTTCACTGATTTCTAAATTCAATTATTCAAAAAATCAAAAATGTTAAATAATTAATTTTAAATAAAAATATTTAAATACAATTGTTATTTATTTTTCCACAGGAGTTTAAATTTTTCAAATTTCAATCTAAAATTTAATTATTTCTAAAGATTAAAAATTTCCTTCCAAAATTTAATTATTTTCAATAATTTTTAACTAAACTTCTTCTCTGAATCAATTATTTTTAATAATTTTTCGACGAAGAATTTTTTGGACAATTTAAAAAACTAAATAATTTGGAGAATTTTAATTAAACATTTTTTAAATAATTGTATTCTTTAAGACTTTTTTTTAATAATTTTAATGTAATTTTTTTTTAATATTTGAATTTTTTAAAAAAAGTAATTGAAAATATTAAGAATAATAATTGAATTTTCAAAAATTGTAATAAAAAACTTGAAAATCTCCATTATTTTCAACTTAAAAACTTTTAAAAAACATTAAGAGTTGCAATTGAAATCTTTATGAAAAATTTAAATTTTATATTTCAACAAATAAATTCTCGAAAAACTTTCTGAAAATTAAATAATTTTAGAAAGAAGTTCGATTAGAAAATTCTAGAAAAGAATTAAATAATACAAGATTTGCAGTAAAATTTTTTAGATAATTAAATTTCACAAGTCTTTAAATTTAAAAGTTAAGTTAAGTTATTTTAAATAATTTTAATTAAAAATTCTAAACAACTATGAAAAATTATGATGCAAATTTATTATAAAATTAGTTAGGTACTTATTTGTATTTTTATCGAAATTTTTGAAGATATATATATATATATATATATATATATATATATTTGAAAAATCTTCGAATAATCAAAATTTCGTGATATTATTTTGAAAACAATTTTTTTTTTATATCATAAACTTTCGCTCTGTCGTATTTTCTCCCCAAATTGTAGAATACTTTTGCAAAATTTAATAAGTTTATATATTTTTTTTCCATGTACTGTTTTCGACTTTTTTGACTTCTTTTCGTAATCGTTTAAAACGACATTTTTTTGCGTTTTCTTATCGATCCGAAGACTGTAAATTCCTTTTTTTTCTTACCTATTTTATGTAAATCAGTCTCATCTGCTGTTTGGAAGTCTACAATGTGCCGGACAGATTTAGCCATGCAAATGCGAATGTCGAAGGTGTCGACAATAGGCTGTCTGAAATATTCTTTAATCGCGTTGTTCCTCATGGCGGAAAGGTCAACTCCGTGAAAACACGTTTGACACCAAAAATTGGCCTTATTAAACTGTTCCATGTAGAGACTGTCGTCCGAAAATGGAGCAATGTGAAGATCTCCTCTTGACGGAAACATTCTACCGCCTAAAATATTAAAATTGAATTTTAATCACCCTAGCCTCTTTTTGGAAAATTAATTCTCAAAATCATTAGTTTTTTTAATTCAATTCTAAAAACTTATTAATTTTTCGAATTCAATCCCAAAAATCATTATTTTTGAATTCAACTCCCAAAATCATTAATTTTTCGAATTCAGTTATTCCAAAATCATTAATTTTTGAATTCAATTAACAAAAATATTAACTATTGAATTCAATTTTCCGAAATTGGGAATTGAATAAACATTCCTGAAAAATTAATTCATTGAAGTACAATTTTCTCCTGGAAAATTTTTACCTGGAATGAGCCATTTTTTTGCATGAAGATATGTCTCGAGCATACGCTCATTGTACAACATGTAACCCATTGGCTCACTGACAATGCAATCAACGCGATCTGGCAGTTCAATTTCCTCAATTTTACCCGCAATCACAACAACTTTATCCGATAAATTATTTGCCGCTACTAATAATTCAGCGTGATTTGCCATATTACTCGCTTCAACGGCATAAACTTTCTTTGCTCCCGCTTGAACGGCAAAGAATGATAATATTCCCGAACCAGCGCCAACATCTAATACTATTTTGTCTTTGAAATCCGATATATTTCCAAGTATTGCCCGTTGATAGGTGCTGGTCCTTATATAATCCTGCATCATATTTTGCTGTTGCGATAAATATCCATAAAATTGAAAATACTGCATTGCCGATGATTCCTCGGTTCTTTCATTGAATGCCGAGACTCCTTTTCCATTTTTGAGCTTTAAAATTTGCGAATGGAAGTTTCGAAAGTCTGTGAAAAATCAGTTTCAATTTTCATTAGTTCAAGAAAACAGTGTTTGTTAATAATTTGTAAAAAAAAATTGTTAAAACAATTTGAAAAAAATTTAAAACATTTGATAAAAATTTAAATAATTTGATACAAATTCAAATAATTTGATAAAAATTTAAATAATTTAATAAAAATTTAAATATTTTGATACAAATTTTAATAATTTGTTATAAATTTAAAAGTTTTGATAAAAATTTAAATAATTTGATAAAAATTTAAATAATTTGTTACAAATTCAAATAATTTGATACAAATTTAAATAATTTTAACAACATTCAAATTTAGAGTTTTAATTTTTATTTCGTTTTTTATTTACCTGTTTCATTGGCGAATGATATTAATAAACTATCTGAATCTAGTGTAAATATATAGCTTCGATTTGAGACTCGAGAACATTCTGTCGTGTGTGTTACTGGAAATTCCAGTAACGAATTTTGATCTTTATCAATGTAGTCCCCTAAAAAAGAAAATATTAACGTTTAGTTGTAAATTTTTCATTACCTTGTATTTTTTCTATAGAAAATATTTTTTTTTTGCATTTCTTTATCTTGAATTTTTTTTATCTTGTATTCTTTTATCCTATATTTTTTATTCCATATTTTTTATCCTGTATTATTTAACCCATATTTTTTCCCTGTATTTTTTATCCAGTATTTTTTTCTTGTATTTTAAAGTTAAATTTAAAGAACAAGAGTTCTTTATAAAAAATAGTTTTTATAGAAAAAATACAATTATTAAACTAATCTCATTAGGGAAAAATAATTTTTTTTTCGAAATTTTACAGCAATTTCAGCGGTAGGAAATTAATTATAATTTCAATGTTTAAGTCTCGAAGGTAAAATCTATTGTGATTTAAGGTCGAAAAAAGAAATATTGAATTTGTAAATAAGGAAAAGACAAATTCCATTATCATTGTGAATGTAATCCGCATTTCTTACGTAACTATAGTCTCAAGAAATGTGGCTAATTAAAAGTTAAAAATATTTTGCCTCTTCTTCTATTTCGGAGAATTTGAGAAAAATTAAAAAATTTTCCTTGTCTTATAAAAAATTGGTGGAGGAAATTAAAATGTTTTATTAATGGAGGAAAAAAACTTGATTCTCTTACTTTTCCAATATTCGTTTCAAATTTCTTCAATTTTTCAATTTTTCACAAATAAGACAATATTTTTCACTAATTACTGATAATTTTTTGTAAATATTAATTTTTAACAAAGTTAAATTTTAATTCAGAGATTTTATAACAAAGGGAATTGCATTTTTTTTATTATTCACTAGGATGACAAAAAAGTTTTATTCAAAATTAGTCTTTGAAGGACATCAACCCTTTGGCATTGAACGAAAAAGCAAAAACTTAAAATATTTAATTATACAATTTAAATCGGATGTTTCTGCGAAAGCAATTAAATTTTGGAAAATTTTTATCGATCAGCTGTTTTGTGTCGCCAAAAAAAGCATTTCCTCTAACAGAGCCATAGCTTCTTTGCCCAAAATTTAATTACTCCTTTATTGCAAATCCGAAATAATTATCCCAATTTGATTTCTTATGAAAAAAAGATTCAATCCGAAAATGGTCGATTAAATTATCAGTTCTTGATAAATTGGAATCTTTCAAGTCATAATTGTCAGAATTTTTAAACAATTGGGAAAAAATCTCGCAAACTTTATAACAAAGCATAAGCATCGTTAGCGTCTGGCGAAGTGTGGTTAGATCGCGTCTGGTTGGCGGTAATGATGATAATGGTTAAGGTATTATCGATCGGAATTTAAACATCAAATGAATACCTGATACAAGCTCGATGCTGAGGCCCTGGGGATCATAATTAATCAAAAGCGTCACCGGCTTGTCGAATTTTGGTGTTGATTGTCCATTGTTTGACAAAGTCGACACTGTCACCGCGCGAAACACCTTCGCCATTTTTAGACACCGCGTGCGTTTTTGTGCGCTCCAGTCTTGTCAAGTCGGCGGGGGATTTTCTTTTATCGTTTCCTCGTGGTTAATAAAATGGTGTCTCAGTTATTAATGAGGAAACAGCTGACTCCTTTGTGAAAAATTAAAAACACGACACTCCCAGTTTGTGACGGGGCTGAGAAATGCCACTTAAGAATTTTCAACAAACGAGACAAAATCACGATGTCAGTCCCGCAGACACCGGATCGTCAACCAACCACCCCCGGTGCAAATTTACACACGCGCACATTATAAAATGTCCCTTCCCCTCAATAACGAGCAGGCACTTCAATGAACGGAAGACCAGTCCAGACAAAGAAAACGATAAGTATTTGGAGTTCCGATTTTCAAAATATCATAAGATTTAACAGTTAAGACTAGTGTGTTGAAAATCAATTTTGAGGTTATAAAACCCTGTAGTATATTGGAGGATCGCTGAAAAACTACTTTGGTAAATATACTTTTTTGTTTTTAATATTATTTTTAGAATAAAATGAATAAAATAGAACATAATTTACATTGTTGTTTCCCGCTTTCGTTTGTTAATCTGACAACACTGTAATTGTACCACGTGCAGGGTTGTCTAGTAAATATCATAAGTATTTATTTACGTTACATAACGTATTATTCGTTCCCTACTACATATGATTAACACCTCTTACCTTATCATACACACAAGCAGTGTATATTTTGAGTCACACCTACCCAACCCTGATCTTGCGACAAGATTTTCTAACCTCTAAATTTGTTTATATTTCGTTCAAAGTCAAAATTTTTTGTTCAGATTTTAATTGAATTCTTATAAAATGACAACTGTTTCATTATTATTATCAGTAAAAATACGTTTTTTAACATAATACTTCATAAATTATAACAAAGAACAATTTGTGATTGGTGTATTTTACATGACCTCAATGCGCAACCAATCAGGAAATCACTTTCAATTGGAAATCGGAATAAAAAATATAATTTTAAAATATAAAACTAATATAAATTTCAGTTATTATTAATTTCAAGAATTGATAAGTATAATTGTGTACTAAACAAGTATTAAAAGAGGCAAAAATTGCGGTTATGAAGAGAATCAAACATTTAAAGGTTAGTTTTTGTGGTTTTTGTAAATAAGCCACGTGGACGATTGTTTATTTTTTTAGAGTGTAAAAAAAAGAGTTGAAATTTGAAAGAGAAGAAATATAAAAAAATAGGTAAAAGGAAAGAAAAAAGGAAAAAATCATGAAAATTGATATGAAACGAAATAGATTAAGTTTGTTTACTTTTTTAATATTCGTTGTAACGAGTATTACTTTATTTATTTATTTGAATCGAGTGCAGCCTTATTATTTTATCGATGAAGTCTTTCATATTCCACAAACGCAACGGTATTGTGATGGCAATTTTACTAGTGTGAGTATTTTTTTGAAATTGAATTTGAATAATTTCAAATATTTTCTTGTCCGAGTTTGAATATTTTCTAGAAATTATTAAAAAAAATTATTTTCCAGTGGGATCCAAAAATTACAACACTTCCTGGCGTTTATTTAATAACGACTATATTTTTAGCACCATTTGGATTTTGCAATGAAACAATTTTCATCCGTTCTACAAATTTAATTGCGACTTTCTTAAATTTCTTCTTAATTTCTAGTATTTGTCGTTTAAAAAATTCTCAAGATTCGTTAATTAATCTCGTTAGTTCATATAATATTGTTCTTTTTCCGCCACTTTTTTTCTGGTTCTTTTTATATTATACTGACGTTTTCTCCGTGACGATGATATTGGCTGTGAATTTATTACACTTACAAGGCAGGATTAAATCCTCCGCACTAGCAGGTAAATTTTTCTTTCCTAATGATTTTGCTTATTCAAATGTTAAAAAAATGTTTAGTAAAAATTTGTAAATTTTCACCTACACAGGCCTTGGATATTAATACTTTTCCGATTTTAATCGACTATTTTCCAAAAATTAGACTTTTTCGACTTTTCTTCCAAATATTGCAAAAAAATACCACATTTTTAGTATAAAATGCAACTTATTTCGATTTTTATAGTGTGAAAAATAACTATAACCAAATCTTTCAAAAATTATTTTTGATTAATTTTTTTATTTAATTTTTTGAAATATATAATCAAAAAGATTTTGAATAATTGAAATTTTGTCAAATTTAATTGAGAATAATAAATTTTTTCCAAGTATTTTATTACAATTTTTGAAAATCAACTTTTAAAGAATATTCGTTGCAAATTTTGCGAAAATAATTTAATTCTCAAAAATTTTAATAAAAAATCTTCAAATGTAAATTTAAAACTAAAAGATAATGAAAATCAGCTTCTGATTTTGAATTCTTTGAAAAATTAATTATTTTGAATTTTTTAGGGTGAAAAATAACTATTAAACAAATCTTTCCAAAAAAATTATTTTTGAATAATTTTTGTATTTAATTTTTTGAAATATAAAATCAAAAAGATTTTGAATAATGTTGAAATTTTGTAAAATTTTATTGAAAATAATAAGTTTTTATCAAGTATTTTATTATAATTTTTGAAAATCAACTTTTGAAGGATTTTGAATTGCAAATTTTGAAAGTAATTGGATTTTCAAAAATTTTAATGAAAAATCTTCAAATATAAATTTAAAACTGAAAATTAATGAAAATCAGCTTCTAATTTTGAATTCTTTAAAAAATTAATTAGTTTCTTTAAAAATTATACAAAAATTCCTTTTTAAGACATTCAATTCTTCTGAAAAACTACAGTATAATATTTTTAAGAAACTAATTCTTAAAATTATTTTATCATAAATTTTTAAGATTCAATTATCTTCGAACAAAGTAAATTAAAATTTTATAAAATTTACTTTTTTAGACTTATTAAAATTTGGGAGAAATCATTTTCATATTTATAATTAAAATTCTTCAAAAACTTGATTATTTTTAAATATTTTTCAAAAGTTTAATTATTTTAAGAAATTTTTTGAAAATTTCAATTATTTGGAAATTTTTTAATTGTATGTAATTAAATAACTATACTATCTTTCAAAAAAGTATATAAAAATATTTTTAAAAAATTAAGTTTCAGAATTTCTTTATTGTAATTTTTTGAAAATATTTAACTTTGGAAAAAAGTACAGTTTGTATTTAAAATTTAAATACTAAATATTAATTTTTGTATTTAAATAATTGAATTCTCGATGAACTTTCGGAAAATTATTAAAAATAATTTATTTATACATGAAATTTAGTTAAAAATTGTGGAAAATAATTGAATTTTGGAAGGATTATTGTTGTAATTTTTAAAAGTTATTAAATATCAGCTTTTAAATTAAAATTTAAAAAATTTTATTTTTCTTGAAAACACAAATAAGAAGTATTTAAATATTTATTTCAAAATTATTGAACTTTCGAATAATTGAATTTTGAAATCAGTGAAAAGTCAGACAAATAATTTTTGTGCCAACACTGAATTAAATAAACGATTTTTTCCTCCTATTTTGTATTTTTAATCGACTAAAGCGACTATTTTTGCGTCTGAAAATAGATCCAAGACCTGTATCTTAAATTTAAATTTTTCTTAAATTCTACTTGAATAAAAATTAAATATAATTTGAAATATAATTATTATGTTTTTAATTTTTAGTAATTTTTTTTTTTTATCTTTTTATTAACTTGCAATGTTTTTCTTCAGGTGTAGTTTCCGTTATTGTGAGACAGACGAATATAATTTGGGTCGCTTTAATTGGTATTGAGGAAGTTTTGAATTTTCTTGAATTGAAAGCTGAAAAATCTCTTTCTGGCGATGTACGTAATTCATCGAAACATCTACAGGTAAAAATAATGAAGGAAGGTGGATTTTTTTGACAAATAGATTCAGATTCTATTCTTTTTGAAAAAGAAATTTTTTTTGTTAAAGAAACATTTGGAATAAATTGTTGTCAGGGGTCGACCACTCTGTTATTCATCGTGTTATAAATATTTTGCAAATTTATTCGTCGTATGATATAGAATAGAGAGTTGTCGAGTTCTGGAAAATTTTCGTCGACTTTTACAATGTAGAAAAATTGAAAAAGAGTGATAATTTAAAAAACTTTTTTTTTCCAGTGGCTCTTGGATACGATAAATGTTCAAGTTCGAAGGGGTCTATTGTCATTTTTAAAGTTCAGTATGGAAATTCTCTCAGCCTTGACTCCGTATATTATAGTTGGAATACTTTTCTTGGCTTTTATAGTCTGGAATGGCGATATCGTTGTTGGAGATCGTACAGCTCACGTTCCAACGATTCACGTGCCGCAGCTCTTTTATTTTTTTGCTTTTACATTTTGTTTTGCTTGGCCTTATATGTTAGCATATTTGAAAGCATTTCTTTGCGATTCACTGGAACATTGGATTGTGTCCAGTTTTATTTTTTCCCTTCTCGTGGTGATAATTCATTCGAATACATTGGTTCATCCTTATGTTTTGGCCGATAATCGACATTATGTTTTTTACGTGTGGAACTATTTTATGGGACGATATTCGTATTTTAAATATTTACCGATACCATTCTATTGTTTTTGTTTTTATGCTTTTTTCAAGTGTTTGAAAAATATGCGTTTCTTGAGTCGAATTTTATTTTTCATTTGCACTTGTGTTGTTTTAGTTCCACAATTATTACTCGAACCGAGATATTTTATTATTCCGTATATTATTTTTCGATTGAATTTACAGAATATTCGTCCTTGGCAAATTGCGCTCGAAACTCTGACAATGTTTTTGATTAATTTTGTTCAATTCTACATTTTTGTTAGTAAAGTTTTTTACTGGAAGGATCAGGAATATCCGCAGAGAATTTCTTGGTGATTATCAATTGTTTTGTACATATTTTTAGATTTGTCAGTTAATATAATAATTAATTTTTGATAGGTATTGATAAGTTTGTAAATAGAAATAATTTTGTAATAAAAACTGTATTTGAAAAAAGTATTTGAAAACCATTTGAAAACAGTATTTGAGAAGGAAAGTTTAATTACTTTTGGCGGAGGATATATTTGACGAATTTTAGTTCAAGGAAATTAACCAGAATTTATCTCCGTTACTAAGCAAATTTCTATGATTTATTGTTTTTTTTACATCTTATAAAGAAGTCTTAATTATTATTTAAATCTAGCGTTACTCAGTGTGTAAGTATTTTCTATCATCGCAGCACTCGTTTGAACATATAAGTATGATACAATTATGATACACGTTTCGAATTTGATATTTTCATGATTTTTTTCTTTCGCTTCTATTCTTGCAAAAACGTCCAACGTTTGATTACAAATAAATAATTCAAAATATCGTTTTTTAAATGTGAAAAATTTGCAAACAAAACTTATTGAAAATATTTTTCTTGTAATACTGACATAATTACATATTGTAATTATTTTTAACTGACATAATTTTAAAATAATTTTAAAAATTATATTTTAATTATTTTTTGTAATCCAACTTTCTCGCTTTTATAAATTCCTATTATAACTCTTAAAAGCACTCGCAGTCTGTGTTTAAAATGACATTTTGTACAAAAACAATATTTTTTTTTTGTTCAAAATTAAAATAGAATTTCAATATTTTTTTGTCGCAAAAATCATTAATAATGCACTTAATTTCAATCAAAGATGATTAACATTTTGATAAAGGCGGCTTTCTATCTATAGATTTTTATTGCTTAATATTATATATGCAGAATTTTTTTTAAATTTATGTAGCATTAGCGAATTTAGGGAAAGTATTTATAAGAGAGGAAAAGGAGAGAAAGAGATAGAGAAGAGATAAAAATTTAATAAGAGTTTTTCAAACTCTATAATTTTCTAAAGAAAATGTAAGATATTCCAGTAATTTAATACATATTTGGAATAAGAAAATGTTTTTAAAACAAAAATTCTTTTCGTTTCCAATTCTCATTTATTTAATAATAAAAAACAAAATAATTAAATAAAGAATTTCTATTTTTTTTTAAATAAAAAGGTACATAAATGAAAATACACCTAAACTGTACCTATATAATTAAATTTCACGCATAAAATATTTTTTTCAAATTAAATTTGAAGTTAATTTAAAAAAAAAACACGACTCTTTGTACAGTATACAAATTTTACGATAGGCAAGAAAGTTTGAAAAATGAATTAACGAGTAATTATTTGCTAATATTATTTATTATTTAGTTAATTAATTAATTAATAAGAAAATAATTAATAATTAAATGACTAATCAATAAACTAATTAATAATTAAGTAGTTTATAATTAAGTACTTAATAATTAATAATTAATAATTAAATAATTAATATAGTTAATAATTAAATAATTAATAGTTTGATAACTAACAGTTAAATTATCGAATTACTACAATAATTACTCGTTAATTTATTAAATTATTTTCATTAATAATCAATTTTAATCAATCATTGTAAATTATTAATTTCAACAATTTTTAATTGTAAATTAATTATCAATGATAATAATAATTTTTGTTATTATTAATATTGAAATACTGAAAAGAGTGAATAATACTGCTTTGCAGGAAGATTGGAGAATAAAAATAAATTTAAAAGAAAAATTATTTTTTTTCCAAGCTCTTTACGTTGCTTCGTTCCACAGCCTCTTATTTCTAATTAATTGTCAATATTTTTACCTACGTAATTATAAGAGATTAACATCTCATAAATAAATAATGGCTTATATGCATTTATAATACAATTGAACGTACACCCAGAGAAAAAAGTTATTTATTTTAACTAAAAGTGTATATTTAAGAAAAATTTATTTGTTGCAAATAAATATTTTATTTAAAATAAATAAACTAATATTTATTTCAAATAAATGCACTAATTAATCTAAAATAAAGAAATATATTTGCAATTTATGAAATAGTATATTTGTAGCAAATAAAAAATATATTTGATTCAAATAAATGTTTGTTTGACTTATAAGTAGACGCCTGCGCATATTGCATTGCTATAGTAAAACAATAAGATGTTTTGCTTTTAACAGTTTAACGCGTACAATTATAAGAGGTTTATTCATCATGAATAGTTAACAAATTTAATTGATTTAAGTACAGAATTTTTCTTTTTAAGTGAAAATTTTAATTAGTACAAAGTAACAGATTTGTATGTGATTTCATTTACATTTTAGTGTCTTATTTGAGATTTTGTGAGAAAAATGTGACAGTGGACTTTTACATATGAAGTGAAAAAGTAAAGTAAAATGACTAACAATAAAAAAACCTGACTTTATTTAACAAATATTCTTATAAAAATAAACATTTATTTTAATGAATATTAAAAGTTCCATTAGTGATTGTGATTGTTAAATTTATTTAAAAGTTTATAAGTGAATTTTAATATTTTAGAATGCTTACATGATTTATTAAAATGAAGTGTTTTTTATTTGCTCTAAATATAAAATATATTTAAAGAAAATATAAAATTTTTTTCATTTAAATAAAAATGGATATTTAAACGAAATATATTAATTCAAATAAAAAATATTATTTGAGCTAAATAAAAGTTTAGTTGGTTCTGTGACAAATATCCTTTTTTATTTGTTTGAAATAAATTTTATTTAATTCAAATAAATTATTTCTCTAGGTGTATAAATGGTTTTTTTTGTTCTTATAGAAATAAATATTAGGTATAATTTTTTTTTTATTTATGAAAAGACTCAATAATTATTATTATTAGACCATGAGAATTTCTAGAATTTATCACCAAAGCGTGATATTTTACATTATTGGTCATTATTCATTTTTTTAAGAGCCTATTCGATAAACTGTCTTTTCTTTAATATGATAATAGAGCAATACGTTTGGAAATTGAAAATTATTGTATCAATCTGACAATAATGTTTACAGATTTTTCTGATTTTAATTGTTTGATCTAATTATTTATTTAAATTAAAATGATATTTAATAAGCATTATTTACTTTTTGTAAATAATCTCGTATGGACAATTTTGTTGAAAGTAAATTTTTAGTTGAAGATAAGTACATTTTTGTTGAAAATATGAAAATTTTTCGTGAAAATAAATAAATTTTTGTTAAAGATAAATAAATTTTTGTTAAAGATAAATAATTTTTTGTTAAAGATAAATAAATTTTTGTTGAAGATAAATAACTTTTTAGTGAAGATAAATAAATTTTTGTTGAAAATAAATAATTTTTTTTTGAAAATAAATTTTTGCTGAACATAAATAAATTTTTGGTGAAAATAAATATATTTTTCTAAAAAATATATAAATTTTTGTTGAAAATAAAAAAATTTAGTTGAAAATAAATTTTTGTTAAAGAAAATAAATTTTTCGTGAAAATAAGCAAATTTTCATAAAAATAAATAAATTTTTGTTAAAGATAAATAATTTTTTGTTAACGATAAATAAATTTTTGTTGAAGATAAATAATTTTTTAGTGAAGATAAATAAATTTTTGTTGAAAATAAATAATTTTTTTTTTTAAATAAATTTTTGCTGAAGATAAATAAATTTTTGGTGAAAATAAAGATATTTTTCTTAAAAATAAATAAATTTTTTGTTGAAGATGAATAAATTTTTGTTGAAAACAAATAAGTTTTTCTTGAAAGCAAATAAGTTTTTGTTAAAAACAAATAAGTTTTTGTTGAAAATAAATGTTTGTTGATAATAAATAAATTTTAATTAAAAACAAATAAATTTTTTGTTGAAAATAAATAAATTTAGTTGAAAATAAATTTTTGTTTACAATAATTCAGTTTTTGTTAAAAATAATTTTTTTTTTTTGAAAATTTGAAAATTCTTGGAAGAGATTGTAAACTTTAGTGTCAGATTAAATACATAATTTTTTTTCCAATGTGATATTTACTGTATAATTGGAAAACTTACGATCCTATCTAATGTTTCTTTGCAAAAATCTACTTGAGCCTTAGTCCCAATAACAGAAACAAAATCATTCGATTGCATCTAATTATTCAATAATATTAGCACCAATAATCAAAAATTTTTTCTTATTATTAATTTTTCACTTTTTTTCAATTACAGGTTTTTTTTGCGTGATATGAAATACACGAGCCGACAATGTTTCTAAAATTGAGGACTAGGGCCGATTTTTGCAGGAACGGACTCGCAGCGTTAGGAACTCAATGTAAGTACCTATTTAATTAATTAATTAATTAACTAATAAATTAATTAATTAATTAATTAACTAATTAATAAATTAACTTATTAATAAATTAATTTATTAATAAATCAACTGATTAATTAACTAATTAAATATAACTAATTAATTAATTAATAATTCTACAATTAAGAAACGTGCCGCGCAAAAAAATAACGTGAGTTAGAGAAATTAAATGTTCGGAGAGCAGGAGCATTAAAAAAGAAAAAATGAAAAAAAAACTGCCTTCTCTATAAGAGAATTAACGGATTTAATCTAAGCCTCGGAACATTCCTTTTCTTAATAGCAACTAACAGTCTTTCTCAATAAAAAGATAACAGAAGTGTTTACAAGTCTTATTATAAGACCGTGAAAACACTCGTTTCAACAAACGTTATTTAACGATAAATTATTATTAAAAAACATCACTGTGAAGGATTATTGGCCTTCTTTTCTATACATGTCCGTCCCTGCAATTAATTAATTGTCGTTGGAAAGGTTGTCTATCGATAATAATCGTTCTCAAAAATTGTTCAAAGAAAGTTTTCAACCTTTTTTTAAAAAAATATAAACACAAAATGTTTATATTAAGTTACAATTGTTATACATATTTGTCAATTGTGTTAAATTATTTATACTAAATATTTATTAAAATAATATTAAGTATTATTTATTTAAATAACATTAATATTCATTTAAATAATATTATTATTTGTTTAAATAATTTTTATTTATTTAAATATTTTCATTTATTGAAATAATATTAAATATTATTTATTTACAATTTATATTAAATACTAGTTATATTAAATCACATCGTAAGCAAAGAAATTTTTTCCATTTTCTTCTACAAAAATAAATTTCTTTTTTTTGTAAAAAATTTTAATTTCCATTTTTAAAAATTAATTTTGAAAAATTGTTTTTCTCTGTCTTTTTATTTTAGTTGTTTAATTATTTATATAATAATTTGTCAACAACAGAAATCTTAATTTCGAAATAAAATTTTCAATGTTTATATTTTTCTTTTTTGAAAAATAAAAATTTGAATAACAGTAACAAAAAAATTGGGATATTTTATCAACTTTTCTCAACGATTATCAGCGATGAACAATCTTAAGACCAACGATACAAAGACGTACATTGCAAATTGGTATTTTTTTTTATTAATAATGGCCCAGTATTTTCGAAAAAAAAAGAAAATTTTTTTTCTCCCCGAGAAAAATTATTTTCAGGCACAAGATCACATTAATTAGCCAGTGTAAAATCTCGTTTGTGAATTGGATATTGATCCAGTTTTAAATATTCACGTGGGAAAAAAATATTTATCTGAAGCAGCTATAAATTTCACTAAATTAGCGATATTTTCAGTTTTAGTTTTCATATCGCTGTTTCAGGTAAATATTTGATTCCTCAGAAAAAAAACATGGATTATTGAAGACAAATGAAAATTGATTATTGTTCCTTGGGTTCTTTTCTTCATTTTTGTTTGAATTTTCTTGATTTTATCGGATCATGTTGTTATTTTTTTTCTTCTTCTTTTTCTGATATCATACAATTTGTTGCTTGAGTTTGACGAGATTTGTCGAGCCATAACGAGTCATATCGAGCGGTGCACTATGCTCATTTTTCTTTGTTTGCGTATGCCACGTTAGTATTTTTGTGCAATTATCGGCTAAAAGTTCTATCTCTTTGGGTTCAAATGGCGCGAGACTCCGAAGGAAACCATCTTCTTCGAAGCCAGCTTTATAGGGCATTGTGGCTTTTGGCCTCTCCAATAGGAATTTAATATTTACTGCAAATCCAGCCATGTCCACGGGAAATCGACGTCCCGCAATCCAACCATCGTAAAAGCCCTGAAATTTCCCGTCTTTCACGATTGGCGAACTTAAACCGTATTTCGTGCAGAGGCCCACGGGAAACATTGATACTCTTTTTGTTTTTCTTATCTGAAATCAGTAAAAGGGGATTTTTTTTTAGAATTTTTTTATTATTTTCTTTGAAAGCAAAAAGAATCATTTTATCTATTTTAAAACATTTTTTACATTTTTCTTTTGCAAAAAAAATCATTATTTCAATTTTCAAACATTTTTATCATTTTCTTGGCAAATAGAATTTTTTATTTGATTTTTCGAAAAAATTTTATTATTTTCTTCACAAAAAAGAATCATTTTTTTCATTTTAAAATATTTTCAACATATTTTTTGTTGCAAACAAAATAATTCCTTCGATTTTCGAAAATTTTTATGATTTTCTTTGCAAATAAAATTTTTATTTTGCTTTTTCTAAACATTTTCATCGCAAAAAAGAATAATTTTTTTCATTTTAAAACATTTTCAACATTTTTTGTTGCAAAAAAAATTATTGTTTCGGTATTCAAACACATTCTTATGGTTTTCTTTGCAAATAAAATTTTTATTTTGCTTTTTCGAAGGATTTTTGACATTTTTTTTGCAAAAGAAAATCAATGTTTCGATTTTCAAACATTTTATAATTTTCTGTACAAATTAAATTTTTTTTTTTTGCTTTCTCAAAAAAAGAATAATTTTCTCTATTTTAAAATATTTTCAACCTTTTTTTTACAAAAAAAACCATTGTTTCGATTTTTGAACATTTCTATGGTTTTCTTTGCAAATCAAATTTTTATTTTGCTTTTTCGAAACATTTTTAAAAAAAATCATTATTTCGACTTTAAAATATATTTTAATCTTTTCTTACAAATAGAATTTTTATTTTGATTTTTCGAAAGATTTTTACAATTTTTTTCGAAATTTCGTTTGTAAATAAAATTATTATTTTGGTTCTTTTTGGATCCTTTTTTCGCAAAATAAAAATCATTTGAATTTTAAAATATTTTTATTATTTTCTTTGCAAATACAATGTTTATATTTGAGTTTTTTAAAAAACATTTTTGTAATTTTTTCTTTGAAAAAAAATATCATTCTTTATATTTTTATCATTTTTACCATTTTCTTTGCAAATAAAATTTTTATTTGGGGTTTTTTGAAACATTTTTATTATTTTTTGCAAAAAAAAAAGATTGCTTTTATTTTAATCATTTTTACCATTTTCTTTGTAAGTAAAATTTTTATTTCAATTATTTGGAAGCCAAAAAATCATGATTTTGATTTTAAAACGTTTTTATCATTTTCTTTCTAAGAACATGTCATTATACTTCGATTCTAAAAAATATTTTATAATCGAAACAATGATTTTTTTTGTAAAGAAAATAATATAAATGTTTGAAAATCTTAATAATACACTTTTCTTTTCAAAGAAAATGATAAAAATGTTCAAAAATTTCAATAATTATTTCTTTTACAATGAAAATAATAAACATATGTTTGAAGATCGAAATAAAGATTTTTTTGCACAGAAAAAATGATAAAAATGTTTCAGAATAATAAAAATAAAAATTTGTTCTTTCAAAAGAAATGATAAAAACATTTTCAAATTGAAATAATGATTTTTATTTTGAAAAAAAAATTGCTAAAAATATAAAACTGATGTGAAAGCTTCTCATGCTTTCAAAGAAAATTCCAAAAATCTATTTTTATCATTTTGTATGCAAATAAAATTTTTATTTCGGTTTTTGAAAAGATTTTTATCAATTTTCTTTGGAAACAAAATTTTTATTTCAGTTTTGAAAGTTTTCCCCTATCATTTTCATTTGTCAGAAAAATCTTCTTCTTTTTATTTTGTTTTTGAATTCACTATACTGAAACAAAAAGTTGACATTGGTTCGAAATAAAAATTGTATTTGCGCCAAAATTTTAATTTTGACCCACAAAAAAATACATTTTATTTTGTGCCAAAATAATTTTATTTTGCGCCAAAATATATTTCATTTGTGTCAAATAATTTTGAGCCAATAAACACTTCATTTTATTTACATTGTGTCTAAATTGTGACTTTGTTGCCAAAATAATGTCATTTGCGCGGAAAAAATTTGTTGGATGTTAAATTTTGTTGAATTTGTTAAAATTAGATATAAAAATCTAATTGCAAGTGAATCGAACCAAAAAGAAATCAAAACGAAAAGAAAATAGTTTTTTAACTTTTAATTTATTTCTAATGTGCAAAATATTTTATTGTTTCTAAATAAATTTTATTTCTATACATTGATAATATTGTATCTTTTATGCAAAATCTTTTTATTTGCTGCAAAAGAATATTTGATTTTTTAAAAATAAATTTCTGTCTAATCAAGTAATTAATTCTTTAATTTATAATTTATTAATAATTCTTTTTTACATTCTCATAAAAACGGAGAAGCTCTTGGTTTTGCTTTAATATAGAAAAGTAAAAAAAAAAAATATAGAAAAAATATTGAAATGTGGAAAAATAAAATAAAATTAGAAAAAAAAGAAAATAATTTTTTAAATACCTATTTATTTGTTGATTAATACGCACCTCATCGAAAAGAGCAATGTCGTAGGTATTATCATCATCAGCAAAATAGAGAATTCCTTTTGTTGCGTTTGCACGCACCCATTGAAGACCTCGATTTCGATTAGAAACCCCACGTGGCTTTGCTCCTTTCTTTTGCTTGTACTGATCAGGCATTGGGGCTTAAATTTCAAAAAAAAAATTTTTCATTTCTTAAATTCATTTTATTTTTTTCCATTATCAGCATCAAGAATAAAAATATTCTATAATTGAAAAAAAACAAAATTATAAAAAAATGTCATTAAAATGTTTCATATTGAAAGAATTGCAGCCTAATTTATTTTTAATATTTTTTTTTTTTATAAAGAAGGCACATGCTATTTTGTAATGAAAATTTAATTACTTTATTAAAATTAGTGATGTTTTATTTTATCGCTGATGTCAGTTAAAAACCAAATGTATAATCACTTTTTTATTTTTGTTACGTTAATTTTTTTTGTATTGCGTATTATATTTTTATTTATTTTTTCTTTTATTATGCTTACTCTTTCTATTATATTTTTTTTTTATATTTTCTTATTATATATATTATTTTATTATGTATACTTTTTATTATTTATATTTTTCAATTATATTTATTTTTTACTGAATTTATTTTTTTAGCTTAGATAAAATAAATGAATGAAATTATTTTATTGATTAATTGAAAATTGGAAAAATAAAAAATTACTTGATCTTATTTTATTAATTCAAAATTTGAATGAAATTATTTTATTGATTAACGAATTGGTAATGGAAAAAATAAAAAACTGATTGAAATTGTTTTATTGATTAAATAATTGAAAAAAATTATTTTATTCTTTGAATACGTAATTGAAAGAAATTAATTTATTCATTCAATAATTGACTGTAATTATTTTATTGATTGACTAATTGAAAATTGAAAATTGAAAAATAAAGGACTAATTTTAATTGTTTTACTAATTCAATAATTTCTTTCTCAATTATTTTATTGTTTAAATAATTGAAAGTAATTATTTTATTGTTTAAATAATTGAAAGAAATTTATTATTTTATTCATTGGCTAATTGAAAACTGGAAAAACAATTTATTGAAATTGTTTTACTGATTCAATAATTTCTTTAAATTATTTTATTGATTAAATAATTGAAAGAAATATGTAATTACTTTCTTTCTAATTTAAATTTTAAAAAATAATAAAAATTTTTTTTATTGTTTCAATGTTTTCCTTCAATTATTTTATTTATTTTATTGAAATTATTTTATTGTGTTTTTGTTTTATAGATTAAATAATTTAACAAAATTATTTTATTGATGAACTATTAGTTGAAAATTGAAAAACTAAAAAACTAATTGAAATTAATTTATTGTTTAACTAAAATTGAAAATAAAAAAAATAAAAATCTATTTAAAATGTTTTATTGATTAAATAGTTGAGAAATAATTTATTATCGATCAATAAATAATTACAGAAAATTATTTAATTTTCGAAATTCAAGTTTCGCTTATAGCGAAGGGGAAACAAAAAAATATGCTAGGTAAAATGTTGATATTTACCAACTAAATGAGTAAAGTTGAGACCAGTTCTTTTAAGTAGTGAAGTGACCTGTGGTGTGGCATCTTTTGCATCCTCGATAACTAACCAGTTGACATTTTTAACTAGCATCAAAGTATGTGACAGCCTTGTGAGTTCAGCTATCTGTTCAGGTCGTCGATAAGTTGGTGTTACAATATAAAGTGGGTCTAAATATTCCTCAGGTTGATTGATATTTTTAACAGGTGTTGTTTCTTGATGATTAGCGAGGCCATTTTTACTTATTGATAACTGATTAACAAATTCCTGTCTTAGTTGTTTTGCCAAATCAGGACTGAGGCCATAATTTTTTTGCACTGTACTTACTACTGTACGAATCTGAAAAAATATTTTATTTATTATCTGAACATATAAAAATTATTAATTATTCTATTTATAATAGTATTAATAGTAATTACAATAATATTGACAGCTTTTTAATTTATTTATTAATTAATTAAATTCATATTTAGTGGTTTATTAACAATATTAATACTTAATAATATTTTTTTATCAATTAATTAATATTATTATTATTATTTATGAATATTGAATTTTAATAATTATTAACATTATTAATTAATAATATTAATATTTTTTACTTTAATAATATTAAAATCTATTGCTAATATTTATTATTTTACTAATAAAATTAATATTTTCTTTTTAATTCTTATATTTATTATTATGTTTATTATTTATTTCAAAATGTAAGGACTTAAAGCCTGCTCGTACAAAGTGATTAATATTTTGTAGTTACGAAATAATCCAAAGACAAAGTCCCTTTGTTGAATTATAATAAATAAATAATGAACTGAATGAATTAATAATATAAATCCAACTGATTTTCTACAAAGAAGTTTCATTGTCATTTGATATTAATTATTTTCGGCACACATTCAATTTGATGAATAAATTTTATTGTGAAACCTAATAAAGAATAATAAATTAAGGAACCACCATTAAAATCATATTTATAAAAGAAATTATTATTTTTTTGTTATTGTTTATCTCGTATTGAATTTATTTTTGTAACGGTGAAAAATATTATTCGAAAAAAAAGATGATTATTTATGAATGACTAATATTAGGATTTTATTACAAAGTTGCTGATATAATCAATTTTGAACTGGTTTGAAATACATCAAATATTTGAATGATTCCACTTTGGATATTAGCGTTTCGTGTAATATGTGTAGAAATTCAAATTGACGCATTCATGCGAAAATCATTTCAGAATAGAATTTATTTTAACAAAAACTGAAAATATCGCTTTTGATGTATTTGACATTTTTATTATTTATTTATTTATAAAAATTTTATTTATAAAAGTACTGTAAAATTATACGAAACGTTGGTATATTATGGAAAAATAAAAAATTAATAATAATTTTGTTATGGATATAAATATTTAATTTTTAGATTTTAGATTTTAGAATTTAGTAGCTAAAATTTAAAATAATTTTAAAAATTTTAGAGTAACAGATTTTTTAATACGATAAACTTTATTGACATATCTGTGAATAATTCTGGAAATAATTCAAAAATTTTATTAAAGTTATATCAAGGTAAAGAAATAAAAAAAAATTTCAAATAAATTTCATTAATAACATTTTATCTCAAATTAAATAAATAAAAAAAATTTTTAATAAAATTTTATTAAAATAAATGAAAAAATAAATTAAATTAAATTCGTAAATTTAATTAGAATTTTATCAAAGTAAATAAATGAAAAAAATTTTTAATAAATTTTGTTAATAAAATTGTATTAAAGTAAATATATGAAAAATATTTTTTAGTAAATTTTATTAAATTTTATCGAAGTAAACAAAAAAAAAAAATACTCAATTTGATTTCCATTTTTTAATTTAAATTTATAATAAAGTTTTCTTATTGATTTAAATTTATAACAAAATTAATTTGAATTCTTCTAATTCCTAAAAAAATTAATATAACTTTTTCATTATTTTCGATACAAAATACGTTTTTTTGTTTTTATTAGTGAACTTTTGGAACACCCAGTATAGTTTAAATGAATTTCCCAGTTAGTTGAAATGCATCAAAACAAAAGTGCGCAAATAGAGAGTGTCACCTTGAATTGTACAGATTATAATCACGACAATAATGATTTGAAAATAAATACAAAATTTTCCCTTTACATTTTAGCTCCTGCTTTTTAAAATTCAGCTATTGACCTATGCGTACATTGTTACGCGTTTCAAATTAAAAGGAAGAGAGAACGAGTATTTTTAATTAGGTAAATTATTTGCGAATTGTTTCGCAATATCGCAACAAATTCTACAATTTTTTTTTTTTTATATATAAAATTGTTTTACTTTTTGGGTAAAATTACAAGGGTATCCTAAAAGGCCCGAATATTTCAAAATTGTCGATAATTATTTTAATTTTGATTGAACTTCAGTTTCACTCCATTATTCTTTCTTTTTTGAAATCTTTATTATAAATTTGAATTATAAAAAATGAAAAATATAAAAGAAGTATAAAAATTATTTTTTATTTTTAGATTGTGTTCCTGGAGTTGGTGTCGAAAAACCGCAAAGGCAAACTGTGAGTTTTAAATAATTAATAATTATAATAATATTAGTAATAAGTTATTATAATAATAGTAATAATTTATTTTAAATTAATTATTTTTTTAATTCTTATACATAAAACAATCAAAGTAAGAATAATAATAATAATATTAACAACAAAAATAATAATATAATAATAATACAAATATAATAAATAATAATTAATAATAATAAATAATATAAATAATAAATTAAAAAATAAATAAATAAAATTTAAATAATAATTTTTCGTTTTGAATGAATATTTTTAACATCAATTTTACAGCGTATCGAATTTTGTTGAATTCATACATATAAATTTTAAATTAAAAACATACACAAAAATTGTTATTTAATTTGTAATAAATAAAATATTAAATAATTAATAAACTTGTAACCAGGAGTTGAATTTTTCAAGCAATACATCAATATTTGATGTATTGTTCAGTAACAATCAATAAACTCAGTGAATTGGTAAATTTAAAGTTATTGTTCTCTACTTTCAGCAGCATTGTAGTTAATTTTATAATTAAAAAGTAATTAAATTTTTATAATGGAAAAGAAAAGGAAAATAATTAAAAATTACTTTACAGTGAATGACAATAATATAAATTAATCGAGTATTTATTTTGTTTTATAATTGACAGGAGAAAAATATCTATATCCATGACTCATTAATACTTATTTTTTCTAAATTGATTTTCCAATCAATTTATTATTATCATTGCTACGATAGAAAAAAAATGAATCTCTGGTTAGAGAATATTAATAGGATTTGATAAATTGCATTTAAAAAGAAATTTAATCAGATTTAGTGAATTGGATGATAAATCTATTAGATTGTGGTTTGACCGCAATGGTTTTAGATGAATAAGAAACCTTTGAATATCGTATTTTCAATAGAGGTATATAAGTTTGAATCTAGGGAATTAATTGAAATTCAATTTTTTTTCGGAGAGAAATTTTGTTGATATTAATTTTATTCGGAATAATTTTAATTTTTTGATTAATTTTGTTGAGAATAATAATTTGGATAGAGTCCTTTTTTCATGCATTGACGAGTTAAAAACTTTTTTGTCAAGTACCAGCCAATTTCAACTCTATGGAATTCTGAATTAAAATAATAATAATAATAATAATAATAATAAATATCAAGTCTGATATGAAAGAGGCCAATAGTATTATATTTACACTTGAAATAACGATTTTTTATAGCTTTTATTACCCAGTTTTTTTAACTAATTTTTTTTATTTATTTAACAACTGGCAGTTAATTTTTGTATAGAAATTTGTTAGAAACTTTCTTTCAACGTAATACTATTTTTTTTATTGAAAATTATGAATTACAGAGTAAATTTTATGACTTCTGAAGGTTTTTTAAATTTTCATAAAGAATTTTTCTTCGGAAATAGTCAGTTATTTTGTAAATTTTCACTATTTTTGGAAGAAATTTAACTAATAATTAGATATTAATAATTATTTGATTTGTAGAAATTTTACTATAATAGTTGATTCAGTAACTGACTTTTAACAATCGTATTAGTTACTTTTAACTTTCCCTAATTGTTAGTAATTTTCATGTAAGACTTTTCCTATTTCGATTAGTAAAATATGACTAATTGTTTATAAAATTCTACTAATTTTTTTTTAGATATTTTTTGCTTTTGCAAATTGCTATTTCAATTTTTCTAGATTCACTAAATGAATTAGTGAAACTGTTTTATAGACTTTTAATTAAACAATAGTCTACTAATTTGCAATTTAAATTCTACTATAATAATTAGTAAAATTTCAATAATTGCAAAGAAAATTATTACTAAATCGTTTGGTGGACGATTTTTCGTCATTTTATTGGTAATAATACTTTCTAATAATTTAAAATTACTTTCTAAATTTGAATTGGTAACAATGCTTACTAATTTGAATTAGTGACAGAGTTTTTGCTTTTGAATAAGTAAATTTTACTAATAAATAATAGTTTCTACTAATTTGTTAGTAAAATTTACTAATTCAAATAAAAATTTAGTTACTAATTAAAAATAGTAAGCATTTTTACTAATTCAAATTTAGAAAGTACCCATTTATTAGCAATTAGTAAAAAATACTAATTATTAGTAGAAATATACATATGTACATTTTATTTAAAACTATAAATTAAATTTTTCATTCCTATAAAACATGAAGATATTGATAACTCCGAGTCTTCGACTCGGAGTGATCGATGTCTTCATGTTTAATAATAATTAAAGATGACCGAGTAATAAAATCATTATCAATTCAATTATTATTTTCAAGAATAATTTTTAACTAAAATTCTTTTTTAAATCGATTATTTTTAATAATTTTCAAAAAAGTTCTTTGACAATTTTCAAATCCATTTGTTTACAATATTCAATTTCACGAAATTTCAATTATTCGTAAGTTTTTCAATTAAATATATATAAGAAAATAAAAACTTCAAATAATATAAAAAAATCCAATTAAACTTTTCCAAAAAAATTAATTTCAAAATTCAATTATTTCTAAAAATTCACGCTATATTGCTTTTAATTATTTAAATACAAAAATAAATAATTTATTGAATAATGAATGTTTCTTAAAATTCAAATCCCATAAAGAATTTTCACAACAAATTTTTAAATAATTCAATTCTTTCGACAAATTTTAATAATATTTTTAAGAATAATTACATTTTTCAAGGAAGTTGATTAAAATTGTATTGAAAATAATTAAAATTGTGAGCTGATTTTTATTATTTATGAAAATAATTGAATTCCTAAGAAGAATTTTATTAATTTTGAACCATATTTAATTTTTACGAAGAATATTATTACTCTTAAAAATAATTGAATTTCTGCAATAATAAGTAACTTTTCCAAAATAAAATTTTTTTTTCGTGTTTTTAACTAAAATTCTTTAATAAATCCATTATATTTAATAATTTTTGAGAAAGTTCTTCGACAATTTTCAAATTCATTTGCTTACAATTTAATTTTACAATATTTCAATCATTCGTAAATTCATTAATTAAGTATATATAAATTACAAAATAAAAACTTCAAATAATTTCAAAAAAAAAATTTGCAATTACACTTTCTTAAAAAAATTAATTCTACAGAACTATTAGTTAAAAATATAATAAATTCAGATTTTCAAAGATTTTAATTTAAAATCTTTTCAAACTTTAATTATTTCTAAAAATTCACGCTCTAATGCTTTTAATATTCAATTATAATCTAAAATTTTAACTGAAATCTATTTTTAAATCAATTTTTATCAGAAAATTCTACTAGAATTCAATTATTTAAATACAAAAAAATCATTTATTAAATAATTGAATGTTTCTTGAAATTGAATTCTAATAAAAAATGTTATCTTCTAATTTTTTAATAATTGAATTCTTTTGACGAATTTTAATAAAATTTTGAAGAATAATTACATTTTTCAAGAAAGTCGATTAAAATTGTATTAAAAATAATTGAAATTCTGCAATGAATTTTATTCTCTATGAAAATAATTGAATTCCTAAAGAGAATTTATTATTTACCAAAATAATTGAATCCCGGTAAAACTTGTATTATTTATGAAAACAATTGATTGATTGCGAAGAAATTTATAAAAAATTTGTAAATAATTGAATTCCTATGAAATTTTTTTTATTTCATGAAAATAATTAAATGCTTGCTTAGAATGTTATCAAAATTTTTTTGACGAATTTTAATAAAATTTTGAAGAACAATTACATTTTTCAAGGAATTCGATTAAAATTGTATTAAAAATAATTGCAATTCAGCAATGAATTTTATTATTTATGAAAATTTGAATTCCTAAAAAAAAATTTTATTATTTTTAAACAATATTTAATTTTTGCGAAGAATATTATTACTCTTGAAAATAATTGAATAATTGCGAAGAAATTTCTAAAAAATTTGTAAATAATTGAAATTTGTTTTATTTCATAAAAATAATTAAATGTTTGCTTAGAATTTTATCAAAATTTTTTTTAAATAATTGAATTCTTTTTGAAAATTTTATTGAAATTTTTGTAAATAATTGAAATTTTGCCAAGAATTTTATTAAAATTTTTGAAAATAATTGCATTTTGGAGAAGATTTTAATATTATTTTTAAAAATAATTGAAATTTTGACGAGAATTTTTAAAACATTTTGAACCTAATTGAATTTCTGCGAAGAATTTTACTATACCTTTGAAAATAATTGAATTTTTACAATTATTTCTAACTTCTCAAAAATTCTCCAAATTATATCGTAGAATTTACGAATGTTTCGTACTTTCTTAAACAAATTACGGACTTTCCGGATGTTTTTTTTTAAACTGACTTTTACGGACTTCAAGCAAATTTACGGACCTTTACGGGATTTACGGATCTAGTTCGAACCCTGTATTAATAATTAGTTATTTGTTGTCAATAATTATATTCATTTTTTATTAATAATAACTAGTTACATTTGATTAATTGCTGAAGCAAAAAATTCAGATTTAGATTCGAAGAGTAGTAAACTTAATTTTCAACTAGAAACTATTTTCGGAATTACTTCCATCTAATAGAATACTTGAGTGTTATATTCTTTTTTTTGAGACAAAAAGAAAAGAGAATTATTCTACTCTAAATATAAAACAATCATATTTTTCTTTATTTGGAAAATTTTGAAATAGAGCGTGTAACACTTTATTATTTTTTTCATTGAAAAGTTTCTTTCTTTTCTCACCCTCTCGTGGTGTAGTATATATGTATTGTTGTAGATATGGGTTTTAAATTGAAGTCGAACAAAACGAAGAGGGACAGTTGCGGGATGAGCTTTTTTCGCTCGGATATTAGCTATAGCAAACTCTCTCGTGTCGTAACACACAATATTGAAATTGGAAATAAAGAAGTTACAATTATCACCATTTCCTCTGTGATTCTGGCTTCGAACTCTTCTCCAGTTTGTAGATTGGATGAATCGTCCAGTGAAGAGGCGGCGACGGCAGCAGCTTCATTGAAGCCTGTTACCTGATCTAGTCTTACTCTCATTGAAAGATGGTACTGGTAGAATATTAAACATATTCCGACCAAAGCCAGCATCCCCACCTTCATGGACGGATTCATCTTCCTCTGCATATCTGTATTGTGATAAAAAAGAGAAATTTTTTTTTTTATAAAAAGAAAAATGGGTGCAGTAAAATATTATTCGGAAATAATTGTTTTTCTGGTTGGTTTTATCTTATATTTATAGGAAATTGTTTCAAAAAATTTGTAATAATTTTTGGGAACAGTAACTGCAAGTGGTTTAAATTATGATTTTTAGTTGAAAGAGTCGTTTATATTCGAACTTGTTAAAAATTAAATTCATTGTTCTTTCCATTTTTAGTATCACTGTTTGTTTCAATTGCGGTGTATTTCAAATTGCATAGCATTTGATATTGGTTTCAAAAGAATTAAATATTAAACACTCACTATTGAAGTGTAAGAGTTTTGTTTAGTTTTCAGGATACAAATAATTTCGTTTCTTATTAGTACTTAATTAAAAATTAACTATATTAATCTCCGTATTCTTTCATTCATTCTGTCGGCAGTTTGAAGTTAGTTTCTGTGTATGCTTTTGTTTTTTTTTCTTAAAAAAATATTGTTTGACAAATCGAAAATATACAGGTATTTTTTCAAGATTTATAATAAAATAATAATATACAAGTTAGAAAATTAAAAAAAAATTATGATTATTGATTAACAAATAAAAAATATACCCATTTTGTTTGTTATATGCTTTTTTCTATAACAAATTTCGTTTGACTGATCTAAATTATGCAAATTTTTCGCCTTTTTATTTATAAAAAATAGAAAATTGTTAATTTTTATAAAAAAATTATGATTAAGAAATAGGAATTAAATACCCATTTTATGCATAATTTTTATTTCTCAATAACAATATTGTTTACAAACTAATTTTTTTCTTTTGGGAAGATAAACATTAGATATTCCCGCCTCTTAATATTCTTGTAGAAAATTCTCAATTTTCATAAGGAAATAATTTGCATTAATTTTATTTCTTAATTTCAATTGTTTTAATAAAATTCAAAATTTTTTACAAATGAAGGAAAAAAATGTTTATAAATTATATTTGTCAATTAGGAAATTTAATTGAAAATGAAACTGAAAATTTTTTAATTTTTAGAAAATAAAGGAAAATATTTTATTGTAAAAAATGTTCTGTTAAATTTATTTAAGAATATCTTTAATTATAAAATTATTCGAAAACAATAATTTCTTTTTTAAACATTTTAAATATTTAATTATTATTATTTTTCCATAGTTTTATATTATAGTTCATGTTTTATGTTTATAGTTCATTTTTTATAAATGTTAAAATCATTATTTTATATTATAAGAATATTGTTGCTGTAACTTCTTCAAAATTATTTTCATATTCTATTATTATCTAAAATTTAAACTAAAATTCATTTTCAAATCAATTTTTATTAGAAAATACCACGACACTTTATAAAGTTTCAATTTTGAATGAATTTAATAAGAAATTTTAAAGAACTTAAATTTTTCAAAAGAAAAAAAAAGAAAAAAAAAATTTTTTTAAAAAATTAAAAATTTAAGTTCTTTAAAATTTCTTATTAAATTCATTCAAAATTGAAATTTTATAAAGTTACAATTTGAAACCGTTTATGAAGTTTATTTATTTTTGAAAATTGTAAATGCAACTCTTTGAAAATTCAATTAATTTTGAAATATTTAAGTAAAATTATTCATTAAATAATTTTTAAGTAAATAATTTTATAATTGCTCTCTTCAAGAATTAAGTTATTAAAAAATAAATTATAGTTAAAAATTGAAAGATTCGAATGTTTTGTATTAGAATTCGTGGTAATTTTATAGTTTATGAATCAAACAAAAAAGACACAAAAATTCAAAATTTTCTTATGAATTCTAAAAATTTATTTTTTTTCAGTAGGGGAATGTAGTCAAGGTTGGCCTACTGTCTAGGTAGGCCACTCGCGTTTTTTTGTCAAGTTCACTAGCGCCACCTACGCGCATTTTTGTCGAAGCTTGTCTTAGTGAAACCTAACTTTTTGTTCAATTACATTTTCGGAAAATCGAAAATTGTGTTTTCTGTGACGTCGGTACAAAAAAAGCTCAAAAAAAGTTTTGTGCATAATGTGAAAAACCATTAATAAAAGATAAAAAACAAATTGAATCGTCAAGGCAAGTATGCAGAAAATTTGTGGGACTCATGGTTGAAAGGAAAACAAAGTAAAAAATCGAATCCCGAAACGTATTTCTTTATGGTTACAACAATTCGGTAATGTTACTTACTGTCAAGGTCGGCCACTATGTGTTTAAAATGCGCAAAGATGAGGACGAGCTACTTCATTTGCAAAAACTGCAATTCTGTATAACTCATAATATAATTGATCATCTTATTAATATTTTTATTTAATTTTATTAATATTTTAGTGCAAAACTTTTTTTTATTTATATTTATTTTTTTATATTGTTTATTGTTATTATTTTGTTATTTCATTAAGTTACAAACTGTAAACAATAAAGAATCAATTTTCCGTAACTCCAAACATGTTATTTTATTTTTTAACGATTAATGCCCTTTGAATTTTAAACATGGCCGACCTTGACTGTAATGGCCAACCTGGACTACAAATTTTTTTTTTTTTAAATCTTTATAACTTTTTCATTTTTAAACCTGTCAATTTACTTTGTACAGAAAAAATGTTCCTATTAAACAGGACTTTCCAACCATATACTTCAATTGTCCAAATTCATTTTTAAAAAAAAGTTATAAACAAAAGTCAAAAAGGTGGCCGACCTAGACTATGTTCCCCTACTTTTAATAAAAATTTTTGAATTTTCCCTGAATTTGAATTAAAAAATTTTTACTTTCTATTATTTTTAAAATTGCTAATTTTAATTAAAAAAAAGTGAATAAGAAGTTAGCCGCACGAATTGCTGCTAGTTCAATTATTAAATAACAATATTCATCACAAGAATTAAATTATTTTCATAAGTAAAATAAAATTCTTCAAATTCAATTATCCACATTGGTACATATATCAATTTGATACTTTTAAGAAGGCTGTGATCATAAAATTAGGATTAGAATACAATCCTAACTATAGGATATTGTAATTAAAAGAATTATAATTAGGATTAAGGTTAGGATTGAAATTTCAAAATTAAGTTTGAAATTGATTATAATAATTAGGATTGTAGTGTCATTAGGAATTTAAGAGTACGATCGAAATCCTAAAATTAGTTCTGGAATCGATTTACTCCCTAATTGCATAAAAATTAGGTGAATAAATTCTGAATTTCAGAATACCGTTTCACTTTATTGCAATCATATAATATCAGATGGATTTAAATCACAGGGAATAAAAGAAAATTCAGAAACTATTTTGTACGTGTGTGTGTGCTTTAACTTTTACGAACACTAACAATGGAAAAAAGATTGATACTCACACACACGCATAGAATTATATAGAGATACAGATATAGGAGAATTAAGTAGTATTGATGATAAAAATACATAAATGTAAATCATCTTAGTCGTAATGTTAAATTTACTTCCGTGACTATACGGATTGAAATCACGTCGTTAGAGAGCTTTGAATGCGCGTCGGAAATATTCGACGAAGCATGCGAACCAACATTCCATCATGAAATTCGCTGATACCATGTTTGTCAACTCGACAAATACACGTTGCATTGACGTATTCATAAAAAACACACACACACACATTCTAATCGGTATTATCATTTTAATAATAATTTATGTAAAATATAATTTAACATACTTTGAACCTTTGATAAATACATAGAACCTTTGATAAACAAGTAAAACCATTGATAAATAAATGAAATCTTTGATAAATAAAAATTAACCCATGACAAAAACTAATTTTTTTAATTTAAACCTCATGTTTTTAAATATAACCAGGGCTCGAACTAGGTCCGTAAATCCCTTGATTTATAGGACAAAAAATCCAATCCAAAAAATCCAAACCGAAAAATCCAAGAGAAAATGTCCAAAGTACAAAAAAATTCAAAATAAAAATATCCAAAGTAAAAAAAAAACCAAAATAAATAAAAACGTCAAAAATAAATAATGAAACATGTGAAAAGCCACGGTTTTTACTTTTTAAGCTATAAAATCGGAATTTAAAATGTTAATGTTAAAATCGCAGGATTTTAATTATTTACATAAATAATAAAATTCTTCACAAAAATTCAATTATTTTCGTAAATAAAAAAAAAAATTTCCACAAAAATTCAATTATTTTCATAAATAAAAATATTTCTAGAAAAATTTAAATTAGTCTATAAAATTTTTAAAACAATTGTTCCATGAAATACAATTATTTTCAACAATTTTAATAAAATTCTTTACAAAAATTCAATTATTTTTTTCCATATAATTCCAATTTAATTGCTTGATTACCTAATTTAATTATTTTCATGAAATAAAAAAAATTCACAGGAATTCAATTATTTACAAATTTTTTATAAATTTCTTCGCAATCATTCAATTATTTTCATAAATAATACAATTTTAACAGGGATTCACTTATTTTTGTAAATAATAAAACTCGTTTTAGGAATTCAATTATTTTCATAAATAATAAAATTCATTGGAGAATTTCAATTATTTTTAATTCAATTTTAATCAACTTCGTCGAAAAATGTATAATTATTGTTAAAATTTTTATTAAAAAATTCGTCAAAAGAAATCAACTATTTAAAAATTTATTCATAAAATTCTTTATGAGAATTGAATTTTTAACAGAATTTCAATTATTTTGAATACAATTTTAATCAAATTTCTCGAAAAATGTAATTATTCTTAAAAATATTATTAAAATTCGTCGAAAGAATTGAATTAATTAAAAATTTATTGATAAAAATCTTTATGAGAATTTAATTTTAAGAATCATACAATTATTCAATAAATTGTTTTTTCTATTTAAATAATTGTATTCTAGAATAGAATTTTCTAATGAAAATTGATTTAAAAATTAATTTCAGTTAAAATTTTAGATAATAATTATTGAATATTAAAACCAATATAGCGTGAATTTTTAGAAATAATAATTGAATTTAG